ATACATTCAAACAATATCATAGAAAATAAATCCTCAGAAATAAAAATAAGACCAAATACCACTGCTCACCTTTAAGGACTTAAACAATTTTTGACAGGCATCATCTTAATTTCATTTATCATCACTCTTTACTAGTATCATTATTACCATTAACACTATCGTCATTCCTATTCAAAATATTTGAATTCTTAGACATGTTTTTACCCTACTATTTCCGTAATAATTTTTACCAATACCCGTATCATTATCAAATCTTTAACAAATATAAACATTACTCTAGCTATTATTACTTTGTAATAATCATTATCATCACTATTCCCACTTCTTTTCCAAACCTCTACAGTGGAACACAAGCTACAAATCTTTATGAAATGAGGTTTAACCCCAAGCCGCCACGCATGGCATGTACATACATGCCATTGCTCATTGTGTGTGTTGAATTTAGTCATTGTTTTTACATATAGATGGCTCCAAAAGTACGAAGTCACCAATGAGCCTATTACACTAACTACCTGTCTCACCTGTTTTTTCACCCTTTTCCATGGTTTTCACTAATATTTTCTAATATTATTACTGCTGCTAGTAATGTCAATAACAATATAGTAATTATAATGTCTATGACAAAAATAACAGTGTCAATATTGATATCATTGGTAAAAAAAAGGTGTTTTCCTGCTTTTTCAAGGAAAAGTGAGGTTGGAAGATCTACTAATTGACTCCTTTGTGGCTAAGCATTGGCAGAGCCATCTATGTGCAGAAACATTTAACCATGCATTGCCAAAGGGAACGCACCATTTTCCCATCGACATTGGGTTAATAATCCTTTGCATTTGTATTCATCACTATCAAATGTTATACACATATAGCAATAAAATCACAGAAAATATTCTTTATCTGGTGCAAAGCAACTCTTGTCATGCTCTGCCAAAAAGCAAGTTTTATGAAGCAACTCTTCTTATCTAAAATTATATAATTTACAAATATATTAAGTGGCATAAAATTTTCAACTAACAAAAAATTTGTATTAGAAATGCCATGAGTAAATCATCATTTTCAGCAATCAGCCAAAACTATTGTGAAACAACTGTATAACTGTATACTTGAAATATAAAACTCATAGGAAAATGGTTGAAACTAATAAGAAAAGTTGAAAAATTCTAAAAATAGAGAGGGAAATGTACACTCAAAATATAAACAAAATAGTTACATATTTCCATTTCCTGGAGATCTAAAATGCACTGCCAGACTTTTACTAACTACTACAGCAGATTTCCCTGATAGTTAAGTCTCTATTCTTTGCTTTGAAAATAAATGAAAATGCGTGTGTGAGTGTGTGCGTGCGTGTGCGTGTGCTTGTGCGTGTGTATGTATGTATGTATGTATGTATGTATGTATGTATGTATGTATGTATGTATGTGTATGTATGTATGTATGTATGTGTGTGTGTGTGTGTGTATGTGTGTGTATATATATATCTATCTATATCTATCTATATATATATAGAGAGAGAGATACATATACATATATTTACATATATCTACATAAATATACATAAATATACATATATATACATATGTATACATACATACATATATATATATATATATATATATTATAATATATGTATGTATGTATGTATGTATGTATGTATGTATGTATGTATGTATGTATGTGTATGTATGTATGTATGTATGTATGTATGTATGTATGTATGTACGTATGTGTGTATATATATATGTGTGTATATTCATATATGTGTGTGTGTGTGTGTGTGGTATATATATATATATATATATATATATATATATATATATATATATATATATATATATATATATATATATATATATATATATATATATATATATATATATACATATATATATAAATATATATACATATATATATATATATATATATATATATATATATATATATATATATACATATATATACATATATACATATATACATACATATATACATATAATATACATATATATACATATATATATATATACATATATATATAATATATATACATATCTGTCTGTCTGTCTGTCTGTCTGTCTCTCTCTATATATAGGTGTATATGTATATATATATATATATATATATATATATATATATATATATATATATATATATATATATATATATATATATATATAGGTGTATATGTATACATATATAAATATATGTATGTTTATATGTATACAAATGAGGTATTCTACTGATCTAAATTCATAAAGTAGTCAGCACAATTTTGTTGCATTTCTTTTGTACAGTAATGGAAGTAACACTATATTCTTAATATGTTTATCATATTTCTCTAGGCTTTTAATGTCTACTATATTTTGTTCAACAGTACACCACTATTTACATTCCACAAATGGTAGTATACTGTCAATCCAGCATAACATTTGTTGGTGATGTTTCTGTTCAGCCAAATACCTGTCCACTTGGCCAGTAGTCTGTTTGCTAAGTGTCCATCAGGCAA